TCCCCCCCCCCCCCCCCCCCGGCTCTGCCAGCGGTCTCATCGCCCAATACAGCTTTAAAAGTGTGCTCCGTTCAGAAATAACAGTTTAGAAAGAAGCGTTTCCAGAGGTACCCTGAACGTTCTCCCGCTGTCCGGAATCTTTAAGGAGCTCCGTGCGTTTGTCTGGGCGAACAGTGGGCAGATACAGTAGAAAAGCGAAGTTAATTTTCCTCCTAATAAGGGACTTCAAAGAGTTGTAGGTCACAATTTTACATCAAAGGCAGAAAAGGAGGCAAATTAAAATCTTAACAAAGGAGAGACGGGAGCAGCCCTCTGGGCCATTAGTAAATAAGTGGTGTGAAAAAAGGGACAATGACAGGCGCTGGAATTAAACTCATTAACACCTTTTTGTCTTGGTGCGAAATCTCTAATTAGGAAATTTATGATCATTTTGCTTATTCCCTCTGTTCTGAATCACTACAAGGCTCCGAAGGAAGGACCTGAACGTGCTGCTTTGGCAAAGGCGGTGCTGGAAGGAGCCATAGGGAGGGAGGCGAGATGTGCTTTAATTACTGAATCAGACGTTTTGTGGCCGACACGCGTGAAGTTTCAGTTCTTTCTCCCCTCACTTCGTCCCCCATCCCCGGCTCCCGGGGTAGAACAGGCACCCGGCCGGGGGGTAACAGAGCGCCGTTCTCTGCTCCTATAAACTCGGGGGGAGGGGGATGGGGGCTTCCTTTCTCGGTTTTTATTTTCTTTTTCTTTTATTGTAAAGTTTGGAGGCTCTTCTCACGTATTCCTCCGTCCCCAAACCCGGCTGGGTTTCTCTCATGGCAGCGCGATTTCCGCGTCCTCACGGTGGATTTTTATAACCGAGTTTCCTTAAAAATAAAATTCATGTCAGATTACGCAGTTAAGGGAATCGACCTTGATAGCGAGCTATAATAAAACTCTATCGGCTTGTAATAAATGCGGATTATAGCAAAGCAAGCTCCGGAATTAAAATTCCACGAATCAATATATGAAAATCTGTATGAAACATCTCTAATCGTATTAAGTTCATCTTTATAGCATTTCCTATCTGCTAATCTAGTGCAAAGCAAGGCTGGGGCGGAATTTATTTTCTTCCACTCAACGTAGCTCCCGTAATGGGTTTTGACGGTCCGACGCGATGGAGATAACAACACGAAAATTCAGTTGTTTGTTTATTTCTTCGTAATTCAAAAGCAAAACGCGGAGCGCACCCCCGTCCCCATCCACTCTCAACTTTCCTGAGCGCAGCGGGGCAACGGCGGCCGAGCTCGGATGGGAGAGGGCCGGGCGGCGCCGGACCCGGCGAAGCGCCGCTGTGTGCCCGCAGCGCCCGGCCGCGTCCTCCGCTGCTCCGTCCGTCCCCAGCTGCCGTGCGGGGCCGGCGGGGAGAGAGGAACGTGCGGGTGCGAACGGCTGCGGGGCAGGGCGAGGGAGAGGGGTGGGTTAATGGGAAAGAGACGGAAAGGAAACGTCTCTCAAGCGAACGAGTTGGAGGAGAAATCTGCGGCGCTTGGCTCGAGGGGAGAGGAAAAGCGGAGAAGCGGCAAACGGTGGGAGCGGGGAGAGGGGACGGCGATCTCGCTGCGGTATCGGGAGGGTGGGGTCGGAGCGGCGAGAGCCGTCCGCCCGCCGAGGCCGCGGGGCCGCCGGGGGAGCGCCGGGACGGAGCGGGGAGAGCGGGGCCGAAGGGAGCCGCGGAGGGGCGGCAGCGGGCGGCTCGTCCTGCGGGAGGCCGGCAGGAGCCGTGCGGGGCCCGACGGCCGCGGGGCGGAGGCAGACGGCGCGGCGGAGCGCGGCTCGGCCGGACGGACACGTGTCTTCTGGCCGGGACCTGTCAAAGCCGGGAGAGCGGCTCCTGATTTATTACCCCAAACACACCCCCCCGCCCGCCCGCCCGCCTCCCTCCTTCCCTCCCTCCCCCCGGCCCCGCCGCCCGCACTTCTCTGCGCGCTCACGCGCTCGCTGAGCTCCGACCGAACCCGGCGCCGGGATTCCCCGAGCCCGGAGCCGTCCCCGGGGCTGTGGCCGCTCCCGGGCCCCCGGCCGCCGTCTTTGGGCGGCAGCGCTCCGCCGGGTACCGCCCGGCCCCGGACCCCGTTTCCTCTGCCCACGCTTTCCGGTCGCGGGCGACGGAGGGGACGCGGGGACGGACCCGGAGGTGGCCGCAGCTCGGAGCTGCCCGCTGGAGGGCCGTGGGACGCGGGGAGGGGAACGGACAAATGGGCTGAGGAGAAGGGCCGCAGTCAAAAAAGAGTTAAAAAAATAGAGGGAAAGATCAAAGAGCCGGGTAAAAGACTCTTCAAATTACACGTTTGAAGCTTTTCCATAATTCCAAGGCGACAGATAGATAACAAGCTGCACATTCCTTATCACATATGGAATCAATCTGAAAGGAGTCTCTTGATCAGAATCTGTTAATTGCAGTGACATATGATTTGGAAAGAAAACACAATTAATGACCCTTCATGTTAGGGCTTTGGGAAGAGGCCACTGACAATCCGCGCTCTGCAACCAACGGCAACTTTCGTGTTGTTGTTACGAGCGGTGGTAGCGGTAAACTGATACAGCGAGATGGTCCTGGAGCCCCGGCACTGCTCCCCGTGCCTTTTACGGTTTCTCGAGTGGGGGAGGAGAGCAGAAAGGGACGGGAGCGGGTGCGCCTTCCTTCGAGGTTTGGGGAGCCAAAATGATTTAGTACCTTGTCTGTAAATCTAATGACCTAAGGTGAGAAAAAATACTTCATCTTTTATTATTACCATTTGTGGTGAGCGTTACCAGGAAACAGCAGAACCCGTTTGAAATGGTAAATATATGTCGCCATTTAAAAACCATTATTGGTGAGGTTCTCCCCAAGGGAGGGCAGTGCCCGCACCCCGCACCCCGCAGCCCGCAGCCCGGCCGGCCCGGGTTGGCAGCGCCCCTGGGAGCCGCCGGGGAGGGATGGAAGGAGAGAGGTTCATTTGAAGGTTATAAAAAGCGCACTTTAATAGGATCGAAGTGAAATTAGTTAATAAGAAAATGCTGGCCAGAAGCTCTCCGGGCTTTTAAGTGCTCTCCAGGCCATTTAGGGAAATTGAATATGAACTGACTCCGTTACCTGCAGCCCATCTCCAGTTCTGCACGGAGGCGAGAAGGGAAAAATAGAGCCAGAGAGACCCGGAGTCCCGCACGCCTCCCGACAGCGTATTTCCTCCACAAATAACGTCCCCCGTCTCCTCCTCCTCTCTCCTTTCTGCCCCGGGGGGGGACGAGGCCGCCGGGGATGCTCGGGCTCCGGGCAGCTCCGCTCGGGCCACGCCGGCACCTCGAGGTTATTCTTTGCCTTCCATTTCTCAGAGCTTTTCCCACCGTTGCGGTGCTTTGCGTTCGGGCCGTTGCCAGCGGGTCGGTACGCTGTGCTACCGAACTTCCTATCTGCTGCCTGTCTCCCTCCCTTTGAACTTTATCGTTTTTCGAGGTGTTAATAAAACCTTTCCTTTGGTAAATCGTTCATTAGAAACCCCACCGAAAGCTGGAAAGACTTCAGAAAATAAAACGGCGCTCGGGAAGGGGAGGTTGGGAGAAGGCTTTTGTCCAAAAACGCGGAGTTGCCGCGAATCTTAGGAAACATTAATCTTTACAGGAATTCGTGATTCATATCTGCGGTTTGACCGTTCAGGTGATTTATAACCTGTTAGTGCCATTCGCTAATTTTATGCCTATATATTTCACGCGCACGGCGAGATTTTCCATCACCCCTCGCAAGGAGCGGCCGCTGCGAGCCGGGCCGGCACCTCATCGCGCCAACGCCGGGCCGGGCCGTGAACCTGCGCTCCTCGCTCCTCAGGGCGGCCCGGACAGCCGGCAGCGGCCGAGGAGAGGAGCGGCCCCGACGGGCTGGTGGTGCCCACCTCCCGCTCCGCGCCTGGCAGCGCCGTGTCCCGACGCTCCTCGACCGCCGCTCGGCAGAGCCAGGGATGCGGGCGGCTCGGTGCGATTTGTCGCTCGGGTTATTAGCCGGAGGGGAAACCACGGGCAAAGAAAAGAAACGACAGCTGCTTCGAAGATAACGCTGCGCGGCGTCTAATCTTGTGACACAATCATTCATTACTATTGTATTAATTACTATTTTTCCCAAGCAGCTCCTGCCCGGATGAGCCGCCGGCCCGCAGCTGCTGGGTGCCGGGCTCTGGGTTAGGAGCGCTGCCCCCATCCGCTCCCGGTTACTGCGCTGTCACGTCGCCTCATTTGGCGGCCGTCGA